GTCCATAAACACGCAAAAAAAGAACTTGGCCAATATCCAGCCATCCTGACCTCACACTTGGTCAATAACCCATATATATGAACAGACCAAAATAACCGAGACTGCCCGCTTACCGGGCACATATGAAGAGGCCGTATCTCGTTACAGGATTAATTTTAGTGTTAGGATTTTATTTACAGAGAATGAAAGTGAAGACGAGGAAGAAGAATACGAAAATTTTGAAGAAGGGGAACAAGAAGAAAGTCACTGGGAGATACTTCGAGAACAATCTTTCAGCGATTTGCCTAAAGGCGTTATCAGGGCATTTGTACGCGTAGACTTTAGAAAAGACTTGGAAATAGGAAGAATACAGCGTCAGGAATTTCCAGATGGACTAGACGCAATAAACTACGCGGAGGCAGCCATGATGAAAAAGAGAGGAAGACTTGGAAGTGCCCTTGAAATGCCCAAGGAACAAGGAGAGGACAAAGGAGTACGCGCTAGTTTTGACGATAAGACTGGACAAAGGAGTGGTTACCGAGGCAATCGAGGCCAAAACGCAAGGCACAGAGGACAGTTAAAGGAAAGGCCAAGAGAACATGGCGACCAAAGTGGTCGAGGATTTTCGCCGGGACCGAAGCCAAAGAATAGGGGTCAAGACATCAGAGAAAAAGACAGTGATTTTCAGAGAACCGCTAGCGGAGATAATCTAAACAGACACAGTCAAGGAACCCTCGGGAGGCCTCGGGATGGGAGTAAAAGCGGGCGTGGTCAGAGAGGAACGAGACGTATGCTGAGCTTGTCGAGTGTGGAGAGTGGTGACAAAAGCACTGGGACCGGAGCAAAAACAAAAGAACTATCTCGATTTGAATGGGATCAGTTGTTGCTCGTTTGTGGGCTGAGTGCATCGACTACCAAAGATGGCTTGGTGAACTTCATCGAAGTATTGAGCGATGGAGAGGTGGAGGACGTAATGCGAACAAACGACAAAGCCCTGATCACAATGGCTAATGCCATAGCAGGTAAGTCAAGTTAAGGTGTGATTAAGGCATGGTGAACAAGTCTCCCCTGTAGCGTTATTTCCCTTACTGTGAGGTTAATTTTATTTTCCGGAAGGTCTGGTCATGGAATTGTCGCGCGAGACTCCTGCTTGACGAGCCAAGCTATAACACCTGATTTCACATCATTTTCTGTGGGAAACAAATCAAAAATGGTCAATTTTGGTTTTACTTAAGGTACTTCCGTGTATGAATATCTTTCAAAAACAAGCAAGATTTACTTCATCATCATTAACGTTTATTTGTCTTAAAAGAAGTATTTGTTATTTACATTAACTCAGACAGGGCGAGGAGACATCCAGAAAAAAACACCGAGCTTATAGGGAAGGTCGCCTTATATATATCCACGCAGATAAAGTCTGCGCATCAGGCCGGTGCTCATTACCGGTTTCTGTAGCAATAAAGTAACTAGGAGTATTTCAACCCCCGACCCCTTGGATGGGATGTAAGTCCATTGCAGAGTTACCCCCATCATTAAATTCGCCGGTACCCATTTGTACACCTGGGTGGAGAGAGGCATTGTGATAGTAAAGTGTCTTGTTCAAGAACACAACACAATGTCCCCAGCCGGGGCTTGAACCCGGACCTCTTGATCCGGAGGCGAGCGCACTAACCATAAGGTCACTGCGCCTCCTCATCAGCCATATAGATATATAGATGTAAGCACGGAATCCATGCCAGGGCAGGAACCTGAAAAAGATTTTGTTTCTCAACATTTTTTGAATAAAGCGTGACATTATACTCAGAAAACGCTTCTTAGCTTCTTAGCACTGGCTGGCTAATTATAAGTCTTTTCAATGTCAGTAGAAAACGAGTTTTTTGAAGTTATTGGTATTTTCTTCTCACAATTGTACTTATCAGGCTTATTCTTTAAATTAACGTGATTTTTCTATAGGA